ATGTGTCTGAACAACCTGTTTCTGAGAACTCTGACTTGTGCTCCCCAGCCTCTCACCCTGGCACAGGGTTTCTGAGGTGGTGGCTTGGGTTTCAGGCTCTCTTGACAATATTTTGCAGCACTTTTTGAATCCAGCCTGCCCTTTGAGTGTTGGCAGTTTCTCCCTGCAACATGGATGCTGTGGCTTACAGGTTACCCAGATGCCCAGTGCAGGCAGATGCATTGTTGGAAGAGGAAAACCTTCTCTGTGTGTCTGTGCAAAGCACTGTAGCCCAGCAGAGCTCTGGTTCAGAGCAGGACTCTGATGTGGTAGCACAATGTGAATTGCTCCCAGACTCCAGCTGTCTTTGGCCTAACGTGGCTAAAATACAGAGAGGCACTAAAGCAACCTTTCTTGCTTCGAACCCCAGCAGCTTGTGCTTTTGTGGCCAAAGAATCTGGCTCCAGCAACATTACTGCTGCTGGAAAGTGGAAATGCCCTGTGTGGAGACACCCGTCAAGGCCTGGGAGGGTCTGGAGGCTTAATCTTTGCACCTCTGCTCTGAGAGGGTCTTGTGGGCTCGTACTTCCCAGAGCCCCTTGGAGCTGTGTAATCTCTTGGGCTGAGAGGGGTGCATTTTACTGAAATAGTGCACGTGTTTGAATCTCATTCTCCTCTCTAGATCATTACCAGATCTGAGTTTCCTGCATCAGGCTGGATTAGCCTTGCCCTGTCTCTTCAGCTCTCCCAGTTGTCTGCCCATTTCCACAAGTGTAGCTGATGACTGAGAAGTGATGTGGGCTCGTCCCCATCCTCCAGGGTAGGAGAAAGGTTCCCACTTCTGTGTTCTCTTCCTGTCTCTTGGAGCCTTGGAGAGATCCGGCAGCTCAGCATTCAACACCAGCATTTAAACAGGTCACTGCAGTACCGAGGTACCTTCTCTGCCCCCTCCCTTCCTTTTTCCTGCTTTGGCAGATTGCCTGGCCTGATTGACTGCATTTTGATTCATCTCTGATATTTAATCTCCTCCCTGGAGAAAGATGGGCAGGAGAGATGCTGTTGCTGCCCTGAGGTAGGAATCAAGAGCTGTAGAGTGTTATTTCATTCAGCCCAAGAAAGCCCTCTAGCAGCACAGAGGACATGTTGTGCTGCAGTGAAAGGCGGCTTTGAGAGATCATGTAATCTGCCCTCGCCTGGCCTTGTGCTGTCTCTTGCTGTAGGACTGGAATCAAAATACCATCTCAGATACTGAGCCCAATTGATTGGAGCTGTTTCAACCAATTCCATCTCTGTGTTCTGGAAGAAGACCTTTTTCCCCCTCCTTCCCCATCCTGGTCAGATAACATCCAGGAAACTCGGTGTCCAGACAAGAGGTTTGTCTTTTGCACGGAGGTGACCCTGTGAAGGAGGCAATCAGCTTCAGAGCAAGTGGGGGCAGGTGGGCTGAGGATGTTGGAACAGGAGAGTGACGGGAGGGAGCAGGTGAAATGATGTCCCCCATCTCTCTCAGCCAGAAGGGTTGTTGGGGTCAAAGGCTTGGAATATAGATGAGCAGCTGTGAGGCAGAGGCTGGAAAGAGCTTTTTTTGTTCGTGCTGAATAATGCTTGGTGCGTTGGCTGCCTGTGTCTAGCTGTATGCTGTCCTGCAGGGGTGAGAGCTGTGCCCTGTTGTCCTTCCTCTTCCTCTGTCCCTGGGATTTTCCACTGGGTTGATGCCTCTTAAGGCTGTGCTGCCTCTGGGGCTCTTCTTAAGGGACACTGACTGATGATGGGCTTGGAGGCAGTGAGGTTTAGCCTCTTCTCTCACATCTAGAAAGGTGTTTTTCTTTCTGGTTTGCCACTGCAAGAGAAGGATAGGGGTTCCAAGACTTACTTGGGCCAGTCTTGAGTGAAACAGTAGGGATCAGAGCTCTGATACAGGTTGAGTTCTGCCAAACAAGAATTTCTGTGCTCTTCCCTGTTGCCTGTGTCCCTTGGCAGAAAGGAAATAGGATGAGAGCTCCCACTGAATGTGCTAATTTCTCCTGGGCCATATCTCTCCAAGGTCACTCGCTTGCAATTGCATCCATATGGGTGGTGCCTCTGCCTAGCTGAGCTCTTGGAAGCCCACCAGGATACAGATTTCATGTGACTATGAAATACAGAGAGTTTATATGGCCATGTAAAATGCTACTCTTTACCAGGACACAGCCTCCTGGGGCAGGTCTGTGAAGGGAGCCAAGTCCTATGTCCTACTTAATTTCTTCTGACCACTGCTGTCCTAGGCCAGCTAACATATCAAAAGCCTGTTGAGAGCAGGGGCCTGTGATCTTTTTTTGCTTTAAGTGCTTGTTTCTGTTTGTTGGGAGTGCCTGGTGTCTTCAGGGAATGGTGGAAGGAGGTAGCGCCCTCAGCCTTGGCTGTGGCTGTGCTCCCTCCTGATGCTCTGTACAATCTTCACTGCCCCGGTACTCTGGAGGAAGCTGACTGCAGCTTTATTTACATGCCATGGGTGGGGATATAATAAAAGGAAATGAAGAAGCCCACACTGACAGCAATGGCTTTTGTTTGTCACCAGCAACACTATGAGTCTGGCCTCACTAAAAAGCAAATACTGAATGGCCAGCTGCCATCCCGTCTCGGGCTCTGGCTGTATGCTCTTGTCTGGATAGAGGAGCAGAATTAGACCCATTTTCTCACTGCAGGTCCTGCTGCATAAGGCAGTGGGAATGATGTGATGCTCTTCCCCAGGATTTAGCTTTGGATGAGGCACGCATTTAACCGCAGTAGGTCGGGCTCTCCAAGCGTTCTCAGGGTAAGACCCCCTCCTCTTTTTCCAGATGGTGAAATGTCTCTGAAGAGTTCTCACTCTGGATAGACTTTTTTATTTAACTGCTTGGCCACTGCCCAAGGGAGTCTGTGTGGCTTTATGGGAAAGGATTTTTAGTTGAGCAGAGCAGTGTTGTGCACGTTTGAACATGTGTACCCAGTGGATCATTCAGCTGGGGATGGAATTGCTCTGTTGACCGCAAATGTTTGTGCATATGCATTGATTGCACTTATCTGTACAGTTATAATCCTTACTCAGTTGAAGCTTCTGGTTTTATACATCCGCTTGTTATTCTGTTAAACCTGTTACTACCTCCTTTCCTGCTGCATCCTCATCTTTATCATCTTGCACCATGCACCCAGTTGGAAAGCGGCTGTGCCACTGGGCCTTGCTGCCCAGCTGCACTTGTGGGAAATAAGTGATTTCCTTGGGGTGGCTGAGTGGTGGAACAGCAGGGATGAGGACCCAGACCCTCCCCTTGGGGCCCAGAAAGGATCATGATTTTTATATGGCTCCCTGAAAGGATGTTTATACTTGAATCTGCAGGGAGATAAACTAGATCTGACTTCCAGGAGAACAACTTTTTTACTCCTTTTTTTCTCCTAAATGGATGGGAGGAAGACTGGATGAGGAGAGAAGGAAGTACTCCGAGGTGAGCTGAGGGTGGTATGGGAGTGGTGAGGGCCTATTGTAAATCTAAGGAAACACAGGGAAGGAAACATGCAGAAATAGTCTGGATCCAGTTGATGGGTTGTGCATGGCCCCTGCTCTGAAAAGGTAGTGTAAGTGCAATGTTTAGTACTCTGAAAAAGCATCCTTGTACTGTAGCATTTATCAAGGCTTCAGGTCATTTTTCAGTCATACCCTAAATCCTGCTTTGTGACCTTCAGGAAACTCACTGTTACCTGTATGTGCCTCAGGTCTTCCCCCACCTCTCCTTGGATGGATCAGTTCTCTCCATGGCAGCATCTTGCTCTTGTGGCCTGAGCACAGCCCGGGCTTTGGGGTGGTAAAAACTCACAGCCTTCGTGGCTAAAAGCTAAAGCTTCCAAAGGGTCTGAGCTTCATTCCATGTGTTCCAGGGAGGTACATCTGGGAGCGAAGGGGAAGATGTAAGGAAAAATTTTGGCTGTAAAATGTAGCAACGTTTTTTGGGTTTTTTGGTTTGTTTTTTTTTTTTTTTGTTCAGCGCTTTTTTGGGCCAAGCAAGGCCCTGACTGCTGCTGTTGCTTCTCTCTGTCAGCTTCTTCCATTGGAAACTCCAGTTCCCTTCTCTCCTCTACCTTGGATAAATAACTGCCATCTCAAGACCTGCAGGAATGCCAGATGGAAAGTGTTCTCTTCCTTTCAGCCTGACTGGGCACACAGGGCTCATTTACACCTTGCTGGCAAGTGTTAGTTGTTCAAGAGGACTGGGCACTGCCTCCTCCATGGGAGTGGAGAGAAGCCAGGCTCCAGGACACAAAAGAAGTAAAGGAGAAGGGATTTGTGTGGCAGATGAATGCAGTTGATGTGCCAGTGCTGGCAGTGCAAAGGTGTTCTGTAGATCCTGAGGTGCAGAAGACAGTCTGCTCGGCCTCCCAACTATGCTGGTTTTGTCTAGGCCTCTTCAAACACTCCTCAGACATCTCTGTTTCAGAGCAGCTCTCACAAGCAAACACCTCAGGGAGGAAAATTTAACTTGCCACAAGTTTGAGGCTACAAAGCAAATTAGTGGCATGGTTTGTGATATGACCAGAAGATGTAATTTCTCTGTCTGTGCTTGGGCACTGGTGGGTACCACTAATTTTCCAGGGACAGATATACCTTAAAGGGAAAAACAACTCTGTTCTTGTAACCCATTCAGCAGCAGCCTTCTCTTCTTGATATAACCACTTAGGGTGCTTTTAGAAGGAATGGGGAACTGGCAGTGGTGGGAATGCCTACAGGAAAAAATTCAGTGTGGAAACACACTGGTACACAGGAGGAGTAATATGGATGGCAGCAAGATGCCCAGGAGGCCACCTGTGTGCTAAAACCTCTCCCTGGGACACCAGCAGCCTTTGGTAGAACTTTGGTAGAAGTAGAGACACAAAGTGCAGAGTGATCCTAATCTACAACCCTTGTGGAAGCAGCAGAAAGAGAACTTGTCCATCATCAAGCTATTTTCAAACAGCACAGCTCTTAGGTAAGTGTCTGTGATAACATGATGGGTTTTCCTCTCTCTTTACAGGATCCTCTCACTTGGATGATGCAAATGAGGTAAGTGCTAAATGGCATCACAGTCAGCTTGGCTTCCTGCAGGGCCTTCAAAGTGACAGAGAGGCACCTCGGGACATGGAGTGGCTTTGCAATAAGACCTGAGCTTTTGCTCAGCAGTCCTCTACCTGCTGAGTTTGAGAGGTTTATGCAGGGGCTGTGGTAGTGATCAAGGCCAGATGGATGCTCAGACCTGGTTCTCCCTCGCTTGTCCTGCCATCAGGTGTTGAGGTGTGGGCTTGGACCAGTCTCTGTGGATTGGTGAGTTTAGCTCAGGCTCAAACACGAGGGAAATGAGATCACCCATTTCTGCCTCTTCTCAGGGCCCTGCTCCAACAGGCACTGCTGTGCTGTGCAAGCTCCAGAGTCCTGGGGCTGCTCCAAGGCCGCCAACCTTGCAGAGGAGAAGATGGTTTTATTTAGTTTGCTTATATGAAGAAAAAAAGTCTGTCAAAATAGGGATTTGGAAAGGGAAGGGGGGAGCAGGAAGTCTTCCTGTTGGCATTTATTAGAAGGGAAATGAATGTTTTATGTTCAGGGGCCCTGCTGGATGTGCAGTGCTCAGGGACAGTGGTCTGGTAAAAGCCTCCTGACTTCTTGAGTCGGTGGTGAGAATTTGATCTGGAATAAGCAAGAAAGGGCTAAATATAGAAGCCCCTGGCTCCCATTCTGTGATGGTGGCTCTGCCCTCACTGCAGTCCTGGAGGCAGCAAGTTCTGCCTATTGTTCCGGTCACATTCCTGTGTCCCACGATGGGGCCTCTGTGATGGAATAAAATGAAGAGAAACAGATGGGAAAACAATAACCCAAGGAACGGGCCCTGAGCTTTGCTGGAAGCTTCCAAAACCCATAAATCCCCAAATGCATTTCTGCTGGATTAGGGAACTGAAGCAAAGCAAGGGCCAAGTACTTCCCTTCCTGTATCCCACGTGCTCTTATTGCCCAGAGACAACTCCAAGGGGGCTCTACCTTGCAACAAATTGTTGTAATGGCACCTCTTTATCCTTCATATTTTAATTCTGACAACTTCCCTGTCTGTCCTTTCTCTGTACTCTCTTTTTGTCTTGCAGGCCCAGGGAAAAACTCACTGCACAAGCAGCGAGCCCACCTCTTCATCCTTCTCCTGCACCACTGGACTGGCTGCAAACAAAACAAGGGGCCTTGCAAGGCAGTGATGTAGTCCCTCCAATGTGCTGGGAAGTGCCTTATAGAAAGGAATGACTGGGAACCTCTTGGAAGGAGAGAGGGATTGATGAGCACTGAGAGGGAACATGACCTGCCTGAAATGTCATGTCTGGTGATCATGAAGGTTTCAAAGCGATTGGAAATCCCGGCCCAGCCACAATTTCTTTTTGTTTTTGTTTGAAGTAAGTGCACGATGTTTTCCTCTGCATATTGGTGGTATCTATGTATCCCTTCCTTAAGTGTGTGTGTGCAAAACCCTGGGTGAGCAGCAGGGAAGATAGATGATTCCAGAGGTGCATGAAAGAAGTTTAGTGCTTTCTGCAGAACTCTGCTTTACCTTTCAGAAAGCAAACAACTTGTTTACTCACCTACCTGTCTGTGAATTGGCTTTGCTCAAGCTCTTCCAAAAACTACAGCTACTTCTTTCCCTGACAGCCTCTTTGCTGCAGTCCTTTTGAGATGAAGCAGTTCCCCAGGGGATTAGATCAATGTTGCAGCTGGCCCAGGGAGAGACTGAGGCTGTGCTGTGAGAAGCAGGGGACAGGATCCTGAGTGAAGCGAAATGAGGTCTTGGTCTGAACCAACCATCTTGTGAAAGCTTATCTTTAGGATCTGAGGCAGGAAGAACTGCACACACTGAAGTCCTGCTGTTACAGCATGGGAGCTAAATTTTTCAAAGCCAGATAGGAATCTATATACCAGCAATCTTCATCCTTGTTAAAATTCCCCTTTTCTCTCCCTAATCCTTTCCCCAAGCATATATTCTTTCAGTCACCCTCCTCCCTGATATGTTTGCTCTTTCCAACCACTGGTCCATGTTAAACAGCTGTTGCTGCTGTGAATGGAGAGATGCAAGGAAAAGGAATGGTGAAAATTTTCATGTGCTGAAGAGGCTACTGAAAACAACAGCCAGGCTCACCTTCTGTTATTAGCCTTTAAATTAGGCCTCGTGTTACTCAGGCAGTTTCACTTGCAGGACACAGGTTTTCTCGTTGCTATACTGGGGGGTATTTTGTACAGACAGATGTGTGCTCCGGGATTGTAATTGCATAATTCATTAACTTTATTGTTCCTTTCATCTGAGTGGGGATTTTTTTTTTTTCATTGAAATTACAGAGTGTTTATGCCCTTCTGTTCTTTGTGTACATAAACCACACAGGAACCTCCAAGTTGCTGGTAAAAAGTGATCTTGAAATCGACACAAACCACTGTGTTGTGCACAGGAAAGTGCACTACTTCCTCTGACCCACTGTTATGCTGCCAGAGTCATTCATGTCCTGCAACCCCTGCTGTGCTGCAGCGCTGGGATGCAGCTGATGTGCTCTTGTGTCTCTCCTTCTGCAGCTGGGGGTGAGGAGCACACCCAACAAAGTGTGTTTCAAAGGCAAGGAGAGTCAAGTGCAACTGGCCCCTGCTCCTGTTCATGTGTTTATTTGTGCCCCCTTGGAGGACTGTCCTCAGAAGGAATGCTGGGATAGGGAATTGCTCCTGCCAGCCCTGTGGTGCCACAGGAAATGAATCTTTCTCTTTTGTTACCCACCTTGGCTCTAACTAGGGCAAGCCCTGCTTCCTGCTGAACAAGGGATCAATGGAGGTAGATTTCATGAGGGACATGAAATAAGTCCTCCTTTCTTTGGACTTGGAGCCACTGAGAGCCTTTTCATGCCCTCTGAATGGGATATGGGAGGGAACAGGGGAGGAGGAAAAAGAATCCAGGCTGATTTTCTGTGTCACAATCTGACTCCCATTCCTGTTGTTTCAGGGGAGAGTGGTTTACACCACCAGTCAATGACCTTTTCTCAAATGCAAAGTAAATATTTTCTCAGCAGACAAACCATTGTGGAAGCAACAATAGAAGGCAGGGAGGTGGCAGGTATCTGGTACCTGCCAGGTTAGGTCCTGGGGTGGATAACACCAGTGAAGCCAATACAAAGAGACCTCTCTAGCTTTTAGAGAGGGAACTGTCCAGTCTTTCCTCCCCCTCTGCAATAATGTGCTCTGTCCCACTGCACAGAGGTGGGAAGAGCAGAATCTGGCTCACACAGTGAGGAACAAGGAAAGACAAGGCAGGGTCTTCAGTAGGTGTGAGCTCATCTAGCTCCAAGTTGAAGTAAGGAGAGAATTCTCCTGTTTGCCTTGTCTCACTTCTGAGGTACCAGCTAAAGCTTTTTGTGTGTGTGTAGGTAAGAGTCACTCCGGTCAAATACGGTTACTGTGAAGAGATAAAAACCCCACACCAGCACATAGTAGGGCATAAATGTTTGAATCCTCAATTAATCATCTGCACATGTGGAAGAAAAAAAATGTTTGGACTTGAATGAAGTATTGAATTCCATTTGGGTGGGATGATGATCGGTAATGCCACACTGCAGAGTTTTGTTTTGGAAACAAACCGGAGCAATCTAATTCCTTCTTAGCATTGAAGCCATTCTGTAATTTGCAATTTGAAAGTGCAGCTTGGGGGAGCTGATTGCGTTTCTCAGTCCCTGATCCTGAAAGTGAACTTATTGATTTTGGGAGCCAAACTGAGTGTGAGCAGCACTATCTTCACATTCAGAGCCCAGCAAACCCTTCGGGCCTCAGGAATATCGTAGCTGGAAGGAGCTGTGAGGTCTCATTGCTTTTACAGACAGGGGCTCTTGGCTAAGAGGTCCTGTGGGTGATTGCATTGTTGCACATATGGTCTGTACTGCAGGGAGAAGGAAAATTTACTTTCGTGAATTTTTTTTTAATAGCATTAGAACTTGCTATAGCTCAGCCCCCAAATGCCCACTCCATTTTTGAAATCACAGTGGTATTAAACCCTCTTCTGTGTGGTTTTGAAGTAGATTCTCTAAGAGTGTTTTTACCCTTGATATGGGTAGTTTGGTTTGCTTTAGAGCTCCACACCATCTCAGAACTAGTTTGTCTTGAAGCAGGAAGGATTCTTGATGCAGTCCCTCAAGGCCTCATTGTGCTTGTCTCTGCTCAATCACAGTCCTTAGCTAGAGGCGTTCAGTTTTTGGAAGGAGTACTGAAAGGAGCGACTTGCCCCAGGACATGGAGCTGCATGGTGAGAGCAGACTGTAGCTCTCCTGTTGCTGGAGCCAAAGGCTCAGCCATCAGCCAGTCTCCTCCCCGCTTCCTTGTGGAGCCTAAGCCTGACCTAGCACTTGTGTTGTTGATGCCACTGAGATTTCTACTTACGGCCTGTGAATAACCACGTTTGTTGTTCCTTTAGCAGTCGTTCATCTTCTACAATGAGGAACAGACAGAAAAAATTGAGGTTTGGCTTGTTCTATTTATAACTCAAAGCAGTGCTGTTCCTGCTTAGGTGCTTTAACTTTGGGAGATAGGGCCTCCACTTTCCTGTTATTGAACCACACTTTAAGTCAGGAGAATCCTTTGTTTTTATTGTTTTTGTTGGCAAGTGAATGACACTTACTGTTAACTTCAATATCATATTGATGCATGTGTAGTTTTTAAAATCAGTAGCTACTGTCCAGTCCATTCTGCCCCTTCTCATGTAGCAAACTAATATTTTATATGTTTGGCCAGAAAAGCAGCTGTGAATGAGACAGACACATGAGACAGAGCAATGGCAGATCCAGCTCATGATGTATGTTACCAATATGAATAGCTTACCCCTTCCTCCTGCTCCCTGTCTTTCCTGACAAGAGTAATGGAAAGTTAAAAGAATTCTTTAACATATGATAGATACTTAAAGAAACACTTCTTCCTGCAAAATGTGTGCATGGTTATCGACATCGTAAGGAAGAGCATTTTGTCTGGCTCCTGAAGGATGGGAACTCATAAAGCAGTAAATTACACCAATATAGAAGTTAATGTACTTGGCTTTAACACGGATATTTTACTGTTATTATCACTATCGAAAGTGACATCCATCACAGTGACATGCACCCAGAAAGGAAAAAAAAACCTGGTGTAGTTGTGTTTAATAACCCCAATTACAGAGCTTTTCTAATGCCTTTTTTTATAACAGTTTTGCGGTTCCGCATTATCTCCTATTAGTGTGAATTCTCTCCTTTCTATAAATTTCTCAGGATTGCCTCTTCCCCTCCACTTTCCGTAATCACCATTTATTATCCACATGCTTCCCATAAAACAAGGCTATAGGTGATAAAGAGAGATTGACGCTGACCTAGATACAGGCCCACCCTCAGCTTTCTTCTTTCCTCCCCCTCAGCAATAATGTGCTCGTTACAGTGGTGAGGAGGCTTTGTTAAACGGTTCAGCTTCTCCCAGCAGTGGGTGCTAAAAATAGTCTCATTAACTGAAACTTTACTTGATCAGCAAAGGAGCTCTTGGGGAAGAGGTACCAAAATGGACTCAAGAATGTAAATAAACAAGAGGAAATTCCACCCTGCTGCCCTGTCAGCTCCAGAACTAACTCAGGCCTGTGAGGCAACACACAGGCAACGCTCTCTGTCTGTATCTGTGAGCAACAGGAGGCTTCTCCGTCCTCACTGTTGGGTACCTGATGATGATTTTGCTCTCGTAGTTTTGGGGGTTTATTTTAACGTTCTCACATTGAGCCTTTTCCCTAGGCAGCTGAATACTTTGGAGGCCTTGCAAGGCTGCAGCACTTGGAAGTGCACCTGGGGGCTTGAGTACTGAAAATGAGCCCTCCCTTGGAGGTGACGGGTATGGAGAGGTCCCTGGCTCACTGAAGGCAAGGGATTTAGGATAATCTGTGCCTGGCTGCAGGTTGCTGAGCTGTGGCTCTTTTCTAACAGCTTTGTGCAATTCTGTGCATTTCCCTGGAGTCTCCTGGGGTTTCCCAGCCCCAGTAGCTCATTTCTGCCTGCCCAGGCTTCAAGAAGTGCAGTAGAGTGAACTTGTCCCTTCTGCATCACTTCCTGAGCCCAGGGCCCTGCCAAGCAGGACACATCTGTGATATCTGTGGAAACCTGGGGCAGTTGCACAGGTTAGAGATCCTGAGGAATGGCCAAGTAGTGCTCACTGAACAACTGAGACATGCTTGAAATAAAGCTCTGCCTGTTTCTACCTACCTTGAGCTGAGTTTAACTCTACCCTTTGGTGAAAACCAAAGGGAAATCCAGCTCCCCCAGACAGGAGGAGGCATGAGAGGGAGCAGGTGGCAGGCTCTTCACCTCTCCTTTCCCGGTCAGACTGTGACACGAGCCATGTACAAAGACCTGTTTTGGGGGAAGACT